CGATTTTGTTGACAACGAGTTGTTATAGCGAGAACGAGTAGACAATGGATTTTTCATCCTCATCTCTTGATACATTGCATGAGCTTGTACCAACTGGTTAGCTTATCCACATCGAGTACATCTAGAAATAAGGCACAGCATTGGGCCTGGAAAAAAATCACAATATGACTCAGTCAGGATAAGACCAAAACAAAGTTAAGTGTTCCAGCATTTTGGCACAAACATACAAAAGAACCAGCAGTGAAATGGTCGAAATGGGTAGCAAGGCTACAAATGGCGGTCATCGCCAACGAAAGTATTGACATCCGGGAAACACTACGTAAAACACCAACAACCACACACCGACCATCTTCACCTATTTTCGAGAAAGCAATCACGGAAAAGAGTTAGGGAACACATAAAACAGGAAAATAAAACAAAATACGACAACGAAAGACAACGAAAAGATGGTAAAGGAGTACTAATTGGAACGATTCCGTGGGCTGATGCAAACACAAAAGAGAAAAACTACTGGCTCAAACACGATTAGTTTAGGCAATGTAAACCTATCATCTACATTCAGACAGTGTCGACAAGGTTTCATGCGCGGAACTGGAGGATGTCTTCGTCTCAGAAAAGTTTATTGTATTCGAACGATACTTCTTCATCTGTAAAGTACAGAAGAGGAATGAATCCTTGGAACAAATCGATGCAAAACTGGTAGAATTGGCCTTAAAAGCAGACTGTGGTGACATAGAAGAGGAACGGGTGAAGGATATGCGGTACATAATGAGAGATATCCGAGGAGCTATTTGCAGAAACTAGAACTCCCAAAGAAAAATATAACTACACAATCAGAAAGGAAAAAAGATTACAGAACAACAAAATAAACAACAATACCAACCAGTATCATTTTGGCTCGTCCGGTAATAAATTTTGCGTCAAACAACAGCCATATAATTTCTAAAAACAATGAAGAAACAAACCAAGCTTGGCAGAGACAGTGGACGAGCAGGCAGTTTAGATTTCGAGAAGAGAAATCAAAATCAACAAGGTCTACAAACGTCATGTGGCAACAAAAACAAATAATCAGCGCTATATGTGTGTGACTACGTTCTCAGCAAGATAACTGCAAAATGCCCCACAAAAAACAAATTAGGTAGAAATGAGGAGGAAGGGGACGCTTTCAAAATATCTGTTAAACAAAAAACGTCAATTTCATCGAAGAATAAGGAGAAGACAAGGCTGATCTACAACAGGACAGGCAGGACGACAACGTAGATCCATTTGCATTCGCAAGCTCTTGACAGCAATTGGGTGGGAATCCCTACAAGAGAATCTTTATACGGCCATGACTATAAACAAGAAGTTTGAGTCCAAACAGGCAAATTTTTTCGAAGCCGAAGATTTTAACAAGATTTTAAGGTAAAGTTTAGGACCACAAGGGAGTCAATCATTGCAATAGCAGATTCGAGAAGCCCAATATCTTTTTATACGAACAAGTAGTAGCAAAAGTAAAGCAAACAGCGAAGAACGCAATTTGGAAACAATTTCCAAAAAGAGACGCTGCCGATTAACTTTCATGCTCGAACCATTAAGTAGAGATATATTACTGATTCATCGGGGGATAGAAAACACTATGAGCATCGTTTATAGTAGTAGTTAGCCAAAGACCAAGCGTAGTTTTACAATTATCTAAACAAAAAATGGCAGTAAATTATAGTAAGAAAATCCACCAATTGTAAGCACCAATTGATACTAAACGTCAAAAAGCAAGCGTAGTTTTACAATTATCTAAACAAAAAATGGCAGTAAATTATAGTAAGAAAAACCACCAATTGTAAGCACCAATTGATACTAAACGTCAAAAAGCAAGATGACTCAGAGCCACCAAGCTTGAGTTTCCAAAATGGGTAAAAGGGCCAATTTAGAGGACTTTGAGCAAGGTTCGGCAACTCAAAAAATATATTGATACAAAGCAAAATTGTGAAAAATTGATACACAGTGCAACAAAACTGCAGGTGAAAACCCATTCACCCACAGTAGAGAGTCGTACAAAATATCAACATACTAATTGACCAAGAACACATAAAATTTTTTTCAGAAATTGGATTAAAAAGAAATGTATAAGCCCAATTTTAGCCAAAGTAACAAAAAAACAGACCTGTTGACCAAAATTTTGTTACTAGCAGTGTGTTTGTTTCATCAACGTCAAGATTGGGAGCGGAATTGGAGCAATATTTCCATGATGGATGGGTGCCAATATCCTACGCATCAGGATTTGGATTTTTAAGGTCGACCAATTTGGTTTTCCGAGCGTTCCGAGAACAACCAAAAGATCCTCTTTTGACCTATTTTGACCGAAAATTTTGCGCCACAGGCAAATTTTTTAGAAACACACGTCAAAAATGGCTTTTTGGGGTTTGTTTGGAATGTCTTGACAATATTCATATATATATATATATATATATATATATATATATATATATATATATATATATATATATATATCTTTATATTTGAAGGAAAAAATTGAAAATCGAAAAACAACAAAATTATTTCAGAATCCCAAAACATCTTTTTTGATTAATTTTTTAAAATTTTGTTCGTCTTTTCAACTGTTTTTTTTGTGGTAATGACGATTTTTGGGATACAAGTACACTGGAGGGGATCTAGGACTTTCTCGAGGGGGGATGCAGTTTTTCAAAAAAATTTCAACAATTTTGTCGACCTTTTTTAGGTCGACCAAATTGTTTTCTGAGTTTTCCCAAGTCTTTGTAAAGACCCTTTTGTGACAAAAATTTCTGCGCCACAGGCAGAGTTTTGAAAAAACAGGCCAAATCATCGATTTCTTTCTTTCGAATACTTGAATTTTTAGTAGTTCGATTGATCAACATTTTAAAAGAGTGTACCGTAAGATACAAAAAATTTCACCTTCATACTGTAAAAAGGAATTGTTTTTAGGACCCTAAATTGACTACTGCTCGTATCAAACTAAAGATTTGATCTCTCTGACTGCTGTTTAAGGTGTCTGAAATAATTTTTGGTAAATGATAGAAAATCTATTTGGTCGTTTAAACAGACAATTTTAACAAAATTTTTCATCATCTAAAACTATCAATCTCCTGGGCTCAAATAAAAAAATACTCAACTCAATTTTTCGTAAAAGTTTGAGTTTTGACAACTTGGCCATTTTTCGATAATTGATTTCCAATACACCTTTTGAACATAACGCGTAAACGCCATCTTTTTTTCGCTCAGAACTCGTTCCAAATTGAGTTAAAGCATTCTAGTGTTTCTAAATAACACTTTAATACGCTAAAATTATCACGTGCTACTTTAAATAGCATACGGGGGATGATTTTCAATAAAAAACAATTTTTTTTATTTTCCAAACTTTGGAAGTTAATTTTTTTAAAATTGTTTGGTACTCCTTAATTGCCATGGGGGGGGGGGGCAGAGTTGGAAAAATCTAGGTTTGGTTTGATACGAGCACTGTTGCTTGAATTTGGAACACTTTACGAGCTGGAACGTTTTGCAGATTTGTTTCGCAGATTTTGTATAAAAATACCGTCAGAAATGTTAATTAAGGGGGATGGGAGGGGGGTTGTAAACAGAATAACATCAACAGAGGTAAAAAACATGATATGCATGAACAAAAATGGGTTACGAAACAAGCGCAAAAAAAGAACCCGCACTAAACATTATAACCTAAAATATACATAAACAATGTGAAATATTTGTTTCTTCTCTTTTATCCAAATATAGCTGAGCTATTTTCTGCTCGATTTAAACATAGTCTCTTTGACTAATTTTTTATTTAAACTAAATTTTTGTTGCTTGTGGCGTATTTGACTGCAGCTATCTTTACCTTCATCCTCACAGGAGCTGCATAATATACCTCGGCCGCCGGTTTTTGTTTTCTGATGTACACATTGCATGCGTTTTCCTATCTGGGTTTCTAATTTGCTTCTCTTAGCCACTATGGCGCTTAATATTATAACTTAAGAACGGAACAAGCAAACAGGAGTTGTTGCATGAAGCTAGCTCATGTCCGTGAAAGTGCATAACACCATGTACACTTTCACACGTACATATTCAAGTATACCTTCATGTTTATATATACATACGTATAACTAAGCATATATACATCAGCATACCAGGTATACTAGTCGCATAATAGAAGGGAGTTGAGAAAAAGAGAAAGTAAAAACTCCGAATGTTGCTCTAGAGCTATATAATAAACTGCTGAAGAAAAAAGAATTCGATCGAATTTCACTCGGAGTAGGTGCCTCGCAATTTCGTCTTTTTTCTAAACGTATATACCCGTACATACTCCTGTATTTAAGCCATCGTTTTCCATTTGTCCTGGCGCTTTTGAGGCATAAGCGGGGAAGGTAATGCTTACGTAATGACTCTTCTATACGTGGTATCAATATACGCTAAAATACAGGTATGTTTATATTATGTATGTATGGCTCTGTTATGTATGGTAGTATAGTATTATAAATTACAGTACGCATATGAGCTATATGTTATTTGTGCCGTGGAAGTATTGTCGGGAACCTGTGTGGCAGAAGCACTGAAAGTATAGTAGTTGTAGTATAATATATATTTGCATATGGGCTGTGCCGTGGTGCTATTATGGGTATAATGGTATGAGATCTGTGGAATAAAGAAGTAGATTTGTTGGGCTTATTTTCTTTCCCCCTAGACAACAGTATAGCACATAGAATAGCTTTTTCACCACCATACCACCGTATACTATATAACTATATAATACATTTATTCCTCTTCTGCTTTTTTATATATATTTTTCTGTTTTTCTTTTCTGATTATATCGCACTGCACAAACCTAACAGAAGTGAGTTGTTATCTTATTCAGCAGTTATAGAGAATTTTTTAAGAAAAAAATCAGAAGAATGAATTGGCGCATAAAGGCAGAATATAGACAAGTAAAACCACTACCTACCACAGCTACTTAAACAACACCATTCTAATGCACATATAGCGAGAGAACGAAAAAGAGGAGGAATTAAAAGAGATATAAAGGGGAAAAGAAAAGGGGAAAACTGAGGAAAGGAAAACGGCGTGAACAAGCTACACGAGTAGAAAAAAAAACAGAAAAATTGCGAGGAAGAGAGGAAAAAATAAGGACGGAAAATACGTGCGCTGTTTTTGCTGCCTATCCCAAATTACTGCTGAGGAAAAAAGCAGAAAAAATTGAGAACGCAAAAATTGCTACAAATTACACGCACAAGAAAAAGAGCTTTTCGCCTGAGATTTAAAAGAATTACTTTGGAAAAAACGCTTAGATCAAAACGGCAAAATACATGTAAGCTGTTTTACAAAGTACATTTTGCGATTTTTTAACAGCGCCTCATTGTTATTAGCGGCTCATCATTTTTAGTTACTTATTTACTTATCTTACCTGTAACAACGTCGAAACCGTTTCAACGGGAAAGGAAACGCTAAATTCTAAATAAACAGCTCCATCAGCAATTAGTCCTAATCAGCAAAACTCTAATACCATACCTCAAATACCACAGCGCAGGAAGCACGCAAAAACAGCTTACCAAATTCATATTTCTAGTCGCAAAACAGTGTGGTGAAATTTTTCTTATTTTTTCGTTACTTCCTCTATTTTTCAAAACCATACCGACTTCGAAAAAAACTGCAGAAACATATTCAGAAAAAAAATAAAAAACGAGACATAAAAGCAATAATCTACCAACAAAATAGAAACAAGCGCAATCAAAAAATCCATACCGTTCCCATTTTACTCATTAGTTTATTCTTCAAAATTATTAAAGGAAAAAACAACATCACCTAAATAAAATCACATGAAGTTGCTTTTTTGGTCTAGCTTATTGTCAGTGTTGTCGATTTGAGAAAACGACACTTTGAGTGAATATAATTGGAGATTGAGTTAAGTAACTTATTACATATTGATTTTTAGCTTCGCTTACTTTGCTAGTTAGTGAGCGATTAGTGCTGGCGTGAGCTGAAGAGAAGAGTGCAGTACTGAACCCTCTATAACCCCCATCTACTTAACTTAGCTCAATTCACTTCTTACCATTTCACATTCTAATTCACAGCAACATACCACAAAAGATTACAGTTCATCAATACATAAAAGTCTTATTCAAATTTATCTCCACTTTGAACCTAACTTCTAATCTCAGCGCATCAAAAAGGTTTGTTTGCCATTTCAATTTGTTGTTCATTGCCAATATTAGATTTACATCTGGAAAAAATTCAACAGAAAAAAAATGAAAGTTGATTACAACCATCGATGTTAATCGCCATTCTCAGCTCACTTTTATAGCAGTCGAATATTTTTGGTCAAAATCTTCCTTTTTGGGATATTTCTGCACAGCTCCATATGTGATAGTGGAATGACAGTCCAGAACGTCGTTCTTGAAAAAGTAAAAAAAAAGAGTATCTCACAGTCGCGGCACCGAAAGTTTTTACAACTTAGTTTTGAATTAATGAGCTGAGCCATTTTCCATTTTCTGGTGTTGCTCTGCCACTACTTAAAATACAAAATACAAGGCTGACATTTCGACATATGGTTGATGAAGCAATTTTCAAAGGATCTAGCCCGCTGAAAAAAAATACAGATAACTTTTTTCTTAGATCATTATTTAGCCGTTCAATCGATATTCCTTCAAGAGATACTGTACTTTTTAAGCAGAAAAAGTCCTTGTAAACAATTCTCTAAAATTTTATTTAAAAGCTAAAATCTTGACTACCGCCACCGCCCATATAATTTTTTCAACTTAACGAAGTTGGAACACACCACTAAGCAAACTGAAATTTAAGTTACACAGTGAATAGATTTTTTGAATTGTCAGACATATTTTGACTTTCGGTTGATTCGTTTTTCAAGTTTTTGTTCGCAAAACAAATTTAGATACCCTTGCTTGAGGTATGGCATCAGTAAACGTCTTTGTAAATCATAAAAAAAACCAGTCATACAAATCGCATACTAAAGAAATTGAATGACAAGTGTTTTTTTTATGAAAAATTTATTTAGTACAAAAGCTTTTGAAACCATTACTGGCCGTATTATATCTTTATAAATCTTCATAAACTTTTTTTTAGTTTTTCTGTTGAAATAAAAAAACTTTTTTTCCCAAGAATAATTTAGTCCATTCTATTCACGAATAAGAGAATTGTATGACCAGCATTTTTTCACAAACAAAATGTGTGGAAATTAAAGACTGGCTTTTTGGCGAGTGAAGTTCAATATGCGATGTCAAAAAGACTGTACGAGGTGGTGGCCGCTGTCTTCAGCTGTACAAGCAGCAGTTTTGAGTTCAATGGCTCAAACTCTTTGAAGTTTTTGTGAGAATTTTCTAGCCCCAAGAACAGCGCTAAACAAGTTTTGATTGAATGCTTTAATAGTATTATAGACCTTTTGAAAAGAAATCTTTTTGTTTGTAAACCGACTGGGTTTTTTGAAATGATCGCTTCAAATCATCTGTCGGATTGCTTCGATAGGTCACAAAATTTGCAATATACTTTGGATATATATGCGATAGGATTAAACGACAAGTTTTCAGTTGTAAGACTTTTTAAACGATTCCAGGATGAGGCACTACTTAAATTTTAGGAACTTGTTGTTCCGACTTTCGTAACAAAATTAACGGAATAATTGTGCTCAGGGTCGTTTTTTTCTTTAGGCAAATTTTGACTTTTGACTAGCCATTTGGATCGATTGCTAAAACTGATTAAATCTCCGTTAATAGCTCAAAATATATCACGCGTTAATTGTCCCAAATTAGCCAACATGCATATCTTTAAACTCGCATAATTTTACGAAAAAGAATCACAGATGAAAAATCGTTTCAAGTTTAAACTCAAGACCGCAATACCTTTTGATATTTTTCTATCATTCAAAAAGTATTGTTGTCTTGAGCTTATATTTGAAACGATATTTCAACTGCGATCACTTTTCGTCAAGCTATGGGGGTTTTAAGATTGGCATTTTGGATAATTTGGGACAATTAACGCGCGATATATTTCGCGCAATTAACGGAGATTTAATCAGTTTTGAAAATCGTTCTAGTTTGGTCGACGCTTATTTGCCATAATTGATTTGTTTAGAGGAGCGAAATCTATCACTTTGTACTTTATAAGACGTGTAGGAAGATGATGTTTACAAAATGTCTCGTATTTTTATTTTGAAAATTTCGTTTTATTTTATTACTTTTAATTCTTTAAAAAGCAGCCGGAATATTCAGGGTTTCGCCCTGATACGAGCATTTTTGTACTACTTACTGCTTACTAAACGCTATATATGGTTTTTCAAATTAAAATAAGTCAATTTATTCAATCCGTAGACTCCCAGGCCAATTTTATGAAGATTTTTATGTGATTAAAGTATGACAAAAAAACTAGTAAAAATACTCCAAGCACAGCTGTCTTTTGCTTGACTTAATTCAGAAAAAAACCCTCATTAGCTTTTTCTGTGTCAATATACTGGTTGGAACTAAAAGTAAGGTTAGCCTGATTTTAATGAAACAAATAAGTTTGAGTAAGCTTAAATAAGCGTGAATAAGCAAGAAAAAGTGAAACATAATTAATTTAAATATTACAACCAAATGTCAATTAACAGCTTATTTGCATCCTTGTTTTTAACTGAAAAATTTTCTAAATTTTGTTTTCCGCGGTTTTTCAATGAGCCTTTTTTCAACAAAACTAATAACTCTGGTTTCGGTCTGCAATCGTTCGCATGTAATGTTTAATTTTTTTTTTACAAAAGTTAACATCGTTTTTCTAATAAATAAAACAAAAAACATTTTTAAATTGTTTATTTTTTTGCCTCTAAGTTGTCCTCGGAGAAATATTAATCAAGTGTGATTTTTTATTTCTTATTTTTAATGATTTTGATTCCTCTCTTGTTTTTATTTCTGTGAGAAAGTTGGAATCTCATGAACAAGTAGCTTGTATATAAGCTTTAAAAAAGTAAAAATCAAAATGAATCAATTTAAATGCCAAAATTTTTGTTAGATAGCAATTAAGTAAATAATTGTTGATTGTAGTCTAGAAAAAAAAATTCCCTCTGATTAAGTTTTTTTTTTGCATTATGTGTTAGGATTGTTATTGTTATCATGAGATACATCACTCAATAATTTGTTATCATGTAGTCATTGGCCTTCGTCAAAATGATACTTGCAAAAAGATAGCGACGCATGCAAAACTCAATCAATCTGTAGTTGGAAAATTATGACTTTTTCAAAATCGTTATTTTCCAAAAACAGATTGATTGAGCTTTGCATGAGTCGTTGTATTTTTGCAAAAATAGTTTTAACCACGACTACAAGATAAAAACTTTTCAGGCAAAAATAGTTTTAACCACGACTACAAGATAAAAAACTTTTCAGGCGTAGGATTAATGTAAAAAGTGTGATGATTTAAAAAATTTTGGCTTCTAGTCTTCAGAAAACTGCAGGATTTTTTGGAAATTTTAATAACTCTGTTTTTGAAAGTGTTGTTCGAAAAAAAATGAAGCGTTAAAAAATGACTAAGTTGTATCTTTTGAAGTTCCAATACCGTGCTATGTTTTATGTGAAGCTTGAAAATGAAATATATTTCACGCCAACAAAAAAAATTTCGGTTTGATGACTTTTTTTTTATTTTATTCTATATCGGCCTGTTTGCTTAATACTAAGCAATTGAGATAAAAAATTCGGAATTTCGTTTATATAGGCAGTTTCATTCGAGTTATTTTGAAGCCCACAACTTCTTGTTTTTACCGAAAACATAGATATCAAACATTTTGAAAAACGATTATTTGTTTTTTTTTGCTCGCGGTTTATTTAAATTATTTTCCTCTGCGTAGCTAGCTTCTAACGGTGTTTTAGCAGACGGTGCATTGCTTCAGTAACTCTAATTGACACTAGGCTAACGTGAGAAGTAACTAAATTCACGTTTTTTCTCAAAAAACGAACATGACCGAGAGCAAAACTTAATAATTCGAATCGGATGATTCGAAAACAAATGCATTTCTAAAAAATTAACCTAAAAAAATTGCTCGGTTTTCAAACTGCTAAAAGTTGATTCAGAACGTCTATAGAAACGGTGTGCGAAGGATATGATTTTCAAATGGAATGTGTATATTCAAAGTATACGAGTGTTGAAAAAATGTGTGGGTTCCACTTATCTCTAAAAACCAAAGCTTGCATCGAATGTGATATATTTTCTATAAAACTATCATTCTATTATCGTCGCAGTTTACGGCTGTTATTTTCACTTATAATTTTTTGTTAAACTTTCTTTTAAATTAGCAGCTGCTTATTGGTTTATTTTTCCAAAAAATTTGTGAATTTTTTTTTTCCCGAAAATTGTAGAGGGGCCGGTCTATCATTGGAGCTCACAATATATTCTCCAGTATCTTTTTTATTCCAAACTTCATAGAAATGCGTTCATCGAAAAAATTATTTCGAGCTTTGTTATTTAGGTTTATTGTCGACTAGCTAGTTCACGAGATGAAGTTTTGTTTTTGAGAATATGTGCGATGACATTTGATTTTGTTTTAAATAAAATTGTGGATTTGGTTGTATGTTTCGGGTCTTGCAAAATGAAAGTTTTGCTTTTTTCCGAATAATCTAAAAACTTGCTTTGCTTCATTTATGCTTTATAGATCAATTTTGCTTTTTTCGAAATTGGATAATACTTTTTAAAAGTTTCTGATAAACTTCAACTTCTTAAACTGGAGCAAATCTGGTTGAATTTAATGGGCCAAGATTAATAAGAAAACCATTAAAGATGGTAAGGCACTCTGAAATATAGTTCAAGAAGGTGAAATTATTGACTTTTTTTGTTTCAAAAAGCACTTTCAAAAATACAGCAAGCAATTTGGTTCACTGTTTTTGCTGTTCACTTTGAATTTCACTTCTGCAAATCAAAATTGGGTGATCAATGTTAATGATGGCAAACCAAACATTTCTCCTTTATTCGATTTTTCTTGGGCCGTATTGTTCATAGAACCTAAAAACTACAATTGATTTTTAGCTCTAAATTCAAATCAAATTTAATTTTCACTTTATTTTAGTTTTTATTACTCCTGATTGAAAAGATACCTCGTTAGAATTAATGCAAAGCAGGTCTAATATTTAGACAACAAAATCTTTCAGACGATATAAAAGTTTTTTTTATCAAAAATGCTTAATTAAAGAGTTGAAAACTGACTGAATAAAAAACCAGCCGAAGCAAGCATAAATATTCCGCACTTTTTTGATGAAAGTCGGAACTATAACAATCATTTACGGATCATTTACAAAAAAAGTAGAACTTGACTACCTTGAAGTTACTTCTACATTATTCATTATTGGACAGCTATCTACGGTAAAATTCAATAACTCAATTGACAAAACTGAAAAAAAAACATAAACTTTGAAATTTTTAAGAGTTACTTTTTTGATTTGCCATATTTTTCTACTTTTTGCCTGGCTGATAATCTGACTGAAGCCCGTTCTATGCTGATGATTGACTAATTTTTTTAAGGGTCTACCTATTCCCTGCCAATTTTTTGGGTTGTCAGTACATCTAGATCCGTGTTACGCCCTGATCTTTTAAAAAAATTAACAAATTGTTTTACAAAATAAGATAAAAAATAAATGGAAAAAGTTACAAGAAACAAAAATTTAAAATGTTTTAATTTTGAATCATTTTTAGTCTGTTTCACCAAAGTTTGTACTTAGTTTTTCTTTTCATTGTTATCTATAGTGAATTTCTGCTCGAGTCTTTTTATGACTTTCATATTTACAAAACCAGTTGTAATGGTGTAGGTGAATTGCAAATTTGGATACTCGTACCTAGTAAACATTCTGGTTCAGATCTGAAAAAATCTGTTTCAGATTTAATTTTCAGATCTGAAATGGGCTGAGAATTTAAAAAAAAAAACGCTTGGATACTGTCATTTTGTTTTTTTTGGTTGCTTCACAAATGAAAAAGCTAATTCCGGTCTAATTTTAGATCTAAATTTTTTTTTTTTTGGTTATTTGATATCTGAATCACTCTGACTCAATTTTTGCCTTTCTTCTATATTTTATAATTTCTGCTAGCTGCTTGCAGGTACTCTGCAAAGTATCCATTTGTAAACTGCTGAAATATGTTTCCCAAAGCATGAAACAAACATCAGAAAACGCATAAGAAGCGCATGAGCATCAACACTTTGACATGTCGTCTAATAACTTTTTTAAGTTTTTTAAAACAGTTGAGCAAGAAATTTAGCTTGGAAAAAAAACTGTTCGTTAAATAATTCGGAAGTTTGTTTTTACCGCTAATTAATCGAAGTATAATTGCCTATTGCACAAACAGCAAAATCTGAAACTCAATAGTTTACTCTAAAAGCATATACTAAATTCTGTCTCAAAAATTTTTCAGAAGATACTTCGAAAATCGAACTAACCTCAGATTTTTTTATTCCACTCTTGCAACTCAGCCTCAGGATTCCCTCGCCTGATAACAAGAAAATTGAAAAAATAATATATATTTAACCGAGAAAAGTACGAAAACAAAACGAGCATTGAAAAAAAACCATAACTCCCAGATCGAGCTTAAAATAAACTTTACGATAATATGTACTCATTTGAAGACTTTTGGGGGTAATTTTTGTAACATGATTTTGTATTGCATAATTTATGGATAACACATTTGCATATGAACATTTGATCTGTAAAAAAATTTAATTAGTGTGTGTTACTAAACCAATGCGTTGTTAATGAGAAAAAGAGCCGGGGTGCATAAACGTTTCCAATTTGTCGACATCATCTTGACTTCTGATAATTTTATAATTTTTGTTTTTGTTAATTATTGACACGGTTGGCTTGTTAATTAACAGCATGTTATTTAACAGTTTTTCAACGTTTCCAAACGTTAAAAAATATTGAAATTTCAACACTTTTAACCGACCATCAAATTATATAAAGGTATTGGCTGTTTTTTTTTCAGGAAACATTCGCCACATTTGCAATTTGTCGGAAAGGTTGTTTGGTTTAGCGTTGAAGAGCGCCGTTCTCGTTGCCATAATTTTTGTTGTGTATGCCATCAGGGGCGGATCCAGGATTTTTTCGAGGGGGGGGGGGCGGATTTTCAAAAATTTTTCGAAAATTTTGACGCCTTTTGTTTTTTTTTAGTTCGACCAAATTGATTTTCCGAGCTCTTCTAAAGCACTAAAAGGTCCCTGTTTTTGCCAAATTTTCTGCGCCGCAGGCAAATTTAAAAAAAACAGGTCAAAAAAGCCGTTTTTAGGCCCTTTTTGAAAAATTTTGACAAAAAAAATCGCGTTTTTTTGGCGCGCGCTCCCCCTCAAAGTTAGTATATATTGGCGCCACAGGCGCCTTTAGAAAAATTTTAGGGTCGGTCGGCAAAAAATGGATTTCTTAAAAAGTACCAAAGGGGGGACCCTTTGGGTCGGCAGAGGGTCGAATCCCTGATGGGGGAGGGGGCGATAGCAACACCCCGCCCCCCTTCCCCCCCCTAAATCCGCCCCTGTATGCCATGCCGATTAGGATAACTCTAATGCTCGTTAAACGATTAGGATAACTCGAATATTCAACTATTTTGACTTTAACCTAACTTCAAATTTTTTACATTTTTGACTTCTAGGACTGTTAAGTTTTCACGAATGTTGTAAGAAGCATACTCATAAACTTCAAATCCGGAAAGTTTTGCATGTTGAGCCAATCGTTGGTCCAAAGATCCCCGATTGTGATAACATAAAAAACATTCAAAAATTATTCTAAATAATGTGAAGTCGTGATCCCTGAGCTATCTACCTTCATTTAATCTAAATTTGTTTAGGAAAACCATTGATTTCAAAAAAGTTTGACTTACAAGTTTAAAATGAAGGCGCCCGAAAACGGTCTGCAAAGTTCCACGGCATTCTTGCAGTGAGATTTCATTATGTGGCAAAACTTTTGAATTTTACAATAATGGAAACTAATTTTTTAGTATTATGTTCGTTTAAATGCAAAACGCAGTTACGAAGCAAAAAAAAACTGCTCCTACCAGGGCGAAGCCCTGAATGTTCTGACTGCCTTTGAGGGTATACGGAGTAAAGTTCATATGAAAAAAATTGATGGTTTTTTCAAAAAAGAACACAAGTTTTTATAAAATTTTATAAATTTTTTTTACTTATCCCCACACGCCATATAAACTATAACGTGCTAGATTTTGCTTCTAATAACCTAAGAAATATGACAAATAGCTTGCTCTTACCTATTTGTAACAATTGCTTAGTCGGATTCAACCTTTGCTTACGCATTGATAGCGCAGAATAGATCGCGATTTAATTGTCCCAATTTGGCCATATTGGCAATGTTGAAACCCCCGAAACTTTTTTAAAAAGTGATCACTGGTGAAACATTTCAATTAATTTGAGCTCAAGATAACAATATCTTTCGGATGATATAAAATCAATTCGATTGAAACTGGCTAGTTAAAAGATCAATTTTTATCTGGAAAAAATAACCCACCCCGAGCACAAATTAATCTCTTTGAAGGTCGGATCAAAAACAACGACAACAATGCATGTTTTAGTAGTACTTTAAAAATTGAAAGGCCACTTTGAAAAAAGCAGGGATTTGATTTAAAATCATCGAACCGTGTCAAAAACATTTTTGAATCTGGTGTACTGGATAAATTATCAAAATGGTACGCCGTTGGGCAGAATTGTCGTGATTTGTAGTTTAAGTTTGATTTAGAAATAACTTGTTTAATAGGTGAGTGTTAAATGTTTCCTTTTCTTACTTTTTGGATGTTTACCCTTGCGGGGGATTTTACCATTCCCGAAAAAACCCAACTTTCTGGGAAAAAGGTGTTATGCGCTGTAGTGGATAGGGGTGGTTTTTGACTTGAGCTCTCTCTCCTGCGGCGCAGAGTATTTGCTAGAAATATCCTCTTTATACTAATTTGGGAGACCTCTGAAAACCAATTTAGACGACCTTAAACAAGATCGACAAAATTTTGGAACAATTTTTGAAAATCCAACTCTCCCTCTTGAGAAAACCCTTGATCCGCCCCTGGTTATGTGAGCTAGCAAGGTTGAATACACAGCTTGAACTGACTATAAACGGTCTTTGAAAAACTAGAAAGTGTTTTTGCCGCCCATCTGCTGTCTCCCAGACTATGGTAGCTCCCATTGCTCTGGCGCTACTTCTTTTACGTTGGACTCTCTAAAAAACGAATTTGAAAACATCGTTTAAAAGTGGCCAAACTACTCTCTAATTTGAAAAATTTCTCGTGTTTGTATTGTAGTTTTGAAAACTGACTTGGGTTTGGATGTTCATCAATCATAATAAATGCATTAGTATTTTTTTAGCAATTTAAATTTTGATTTAATTTGAGATTATTTTGAGTTCAATTGCAAGACGAAATTACGCTCTCTAATCACTAAACTGCAAATGGCGGCGCAAAAAAAAACGTTTTAAAGTTTTAATTTCGGAAAATTTGTTTTTTGATTTTTACGTTTCCCAGCGGAGTAAAAAATGTATCTTTTTGTCATATTATACTTTTGGGTAACCTGCGTAAATTGCATATAATTTTTCTATGAAAAAAACTTTCAATCATCAAAGATTATCTAAATTGAGAGCGTTTTAACATAATGTATTATTTCTTCAAAATTTGAAAGCCTAAAAAGTTTATCATTTTTTTAAAAGTTACATTGTGTACCTTAAGACATTTTTCCGGCTTTCCGTTGACTTCATTTAAATTAAAATTAACTATTTTTGGTGATACATTATTCTTGATTTTGCTGAACTTATTTTGAATTTCGAGTATGATTTGTTTAGGGACTTCGGCGTGAGTTTTATCAGCTTGATTATCAATCTCTCCTTTGATGCTCTCAGCCAACAACCTGTCCCGGCTATTGTGTGGGTCCAGAGAGAAGGAAAAGAACTTCGACTAGAGAAGCGACACAAATCCGAAAGCTCTCATACGACTCAAACTCATTTTACAAAGTTTAAGAAACTGTATTTTCTGTGCAGCACACCTAGTCAAGTTAAGTCTAATTTGATTGGCTGTTGCCTCGTGTGCACCATCTATCATTCTCTTGCTTTGATCTAATAAGAAAAAGAAACGGAGAAGAGTGTCTTGAATCATAACCAGTAGTGCTACTAGTGAAAGAGTGATCTGACATCATCGATACAGATGGCTTCGATCGACCAGCTTCGTCAGGAGGTGGATGCTTTAAAAAACAAAATCAGAGTAAGTCGCTTATAAGTTCCTTCGCACAATACAAATGGAGGAGGCAGAACGTTTTTGAAGAAGCTGCTTTATGACAAGAAAAAATGCACTTTTAGAGGGTTAAAAGATTTTAGTAGATTCTAAAGCAACTTTAGAAAATACTTTGATTGTCCTGACCTTTGACGAAAGTGACATAATATTTGTGCCAGATTTGACTTTTTTTATCGCCGGGCATTTTTTGAGTGTTTAACCTGCCACTTTTAATCTAAAATCTATTGCTCGAAGTTAAAGAGGCAATTTACTTGTTATCTTTTTTGTAAACTTATGGGGATTTGAGATTAACTATTTAGTATTATTAACGAGCTACTCTATGCGAAATTTATCGCTTTGTATTTTGTTTTGCCTGTATATTTTAAAAATTGATCCAAAAAAAATCAAAAATTTCTTTACTTTAATTTTAATTAGCAATCAAAATCAACTGCAATGACGTTACAAGATTGTCAAAGTATTCACGGCTTTGCCCTGATACGACACATTTTTTCATGGTGCGATAGTTCGTCAAAGTTATTACATACTATCGCCCCGTAATTTACTTTTTATCACTTCTTATGAAATTGAGTGCCTAAAGTATAAAATGCGGAAAGAAACTTTTATTATTGGGGAAATGCATGTTGTAAAACAGTACAAGTTGAGGTGAAAATAAAATTTGAGTTTTAAAAATGACAATTGTACAAAAAAGTTGAAATTGGGCAAACGAAAAATAAAAACGTTAGACGACTTAAGACAGACAATAATAGCCTAGTGTTAAAAAAGCAAAAATGAGCGGTGAAATTTTGGCTAAGTTTTGGAAAGGTTTTCTATGAATACTGACCTTATTACTATCATGATTAGAAATATGTTATTAAATCTTTTTTTATTATGAGTATCAAGATTATGATATGATCATGAAAGTGATTATTGTTCCGACCATTTGAAAAATGTAGAGAAATTTTGTATTCGGGTTTGTTTTATCTTTTTTTTTATTTCTATGCCTAATCAGCTAGTACAAAAAGGTACTGCAAATAATCATCGGAGAGAATTCAGTGAAATAGCATAATAAAAACCTAACAGTCATGACTTGAACGGCATAAGAAAAAATTTCAAAAAAGTTCTGTTGAGAAACAAACCATTTAGAGAAGTTTTTGGTTTTTCGTCTTATTTCGAGCAAAAAAAGAGCGCGAGCAGGCTTACAATAGCTTTTTTAATTGCCTAAAAGCTTACAATGGCTTAATTTAAAACTAAAACTCAAGTAATCTTAGTGTTTTTCAGTATTTTAGCGCCTTTTTGGAATCAAAAACAGTAATCGCTCAGACCCTTTTATCACACCACGCCGAAAAAACGACACTAATTTTTATAAAAAACGTTGTGGCTTTTGAAGACTTTAGTCGGAATATTATGTGCTACTTGCACAGTAAACGGCTATCCTTGTGGTTATTTTGACGATGCTGATTAAAATCAAGATTTTTGTTGTTAGTATTCTGCTATTGTTATAATTACTAATATTATGATTTTTTTAATGATGATTGTGATAATTTTTTAAAATTTAGATTATTTGTTTTAGAATATATTAAATTATGATGATTTTTATGTCTTGGTATTTATGATTGTTAATTTTTTTGGTCTAATTTTCTTCTTATTCATAAAATTTTCTGATGAGCAGAAATTTTTTTGTTACAGTTAGTGGACCGGAAACACGCATGAGGACACATTTTTATTATTTGCTAACCGTTATTTAATTACAGCAAAACTGAAAAAAAAATGAAATCATAATACCAAGGAGGGGAAAAACAAGATAAGGCCTGTTCATTTTTGAGAGGAAATCGCTGGTGTTTCCCTGCTCAACAAGGGCAAACAATTTTTTGATTATTATTTCGGATAAAAACTGTAACCTCACCCGCAGCAGTGATGATTAGCCTAGTCTAAATTAATATTCAGCAGCAATGCTGAAACAAAAGGAACAGACAAAGCTCCCTTTTGGTGATGTTTTTGGTTTTTGGTTTTTGGGAACTAGGCGAGATATCAGAAAGTAAATAATTAAAGCTGAAGTAGAAATAGGAGTGCGAGTAGTGCAATATTCAATCAGATCTACTATTCTTGCGATAACATAACGACCGACTGACACTGGAAAAACTGCAATTTAGATCCTGGCTTTTCGTTATTCTGACCGTTGAAAAAGGCGAGGAAGTTTTATTCGTGTGTGTTTTTGTTTGTATTTCTTTTTTTTAATCAAAAAGGTCAAAAAGGTTGTACCAGAAAGAAACATCGGAATTGTTCGAGTAATATATCACTTCTAATTCCTTTTAGTTCTGATTTGAACAAGTTTTGACAATTTTCAAAAGTATTCCAAGAGTCGACAAAAACCATTTCAAAGGTTTTGAGCTTTAATTGAATATTGGGCGAGTAAAGCGATTAAATAATGTTCGCTATATGAAGTTTGGTGATTTGGGGTGAGATAACCTAATTTTACTGGACAAAAACTTTTTTGGAAGCTTTGCTTAGCGCTTCTTTGGCAATAAAATGTTTCTAAAAATATGGAAACGTTGAGTGGAAATAGTTCCAAAAGTTTTTAAAAATTTTTCTTCATTTTTTTGTCATTTATTTTTTGAAAAAAAGGTCAATTATGCCCTAATAGATTAATTTTTACGCTTTTTTGCAGATGTTTTAATTACATTTTACATTTTTTGCGGTTTCTATTGATTGTGCATGGAACATTCTGTGCTACTTGCACAGCAACCGGCTATCCTTGTTAGACTGTGGAAAAATTCTGGGATATATATATATATATATATATATATATATATATATATATATATATATATATATATATTTGATCTTAAGGAACTTGAAAAATATGTCCAGAGTTTGCCTCATAACTCGATAAAAAGTAAGTTTTGAAGGTGCACTTCTGTATCATTAAATATTGAACGAGGAAATAGGTTTACTTTTTCATTCGAAAGCAAAAAAAGTCATTAGTAAAGAATTTGTTATAACTGAAACATATAACCGGAACGATTTATCTTATTGATAAAACTTGAAAAGACAACACACGAAACACTCAGCGAACAAATTTAATTATATTAGACCGATTTCGTTTTTTACGGGATAAAAAATAAAAACAGTAAATTTATTAGCGTTAAATGACTAAAAAAATACAAATAGAACAAAACTTTGATTCATACAAAATACAAAAAAAAAATTTTTCATTAAATCATGCTCATAAAAAAATCATCATCACTGATTAGAAAAAAAACTTTTTGAGGAAGGGTATTGACCGCATAATTAATTGCCTGTGTCTTTCAATATAATTTTCCTGTTTGTTTTTTAAAAAACATTTAATGTTTTAGGCGAATTGCGTAGCTTAAAATATCTACGATACAACACCGATCAATTTTGTTTGATAAGAGTTTTGCTACTTAACCCTTGAAATTTTTCATAATTTTTTTCTGGCAAAAAAAAACTTTATTCTATTTTTCGTAGAGTAACTTGGTATGTTTCTGTTTTGCTGGACTCAATTTCAGGCCTAAAATTGCGAACAGTTTAGTAAGAAAATTAAAAATTTAGGCACAAATTTTTTTAAATTATGTGTGAGCATAATTTTATTTAAATTGAACTTTTTGAAAGTAAAAGTTTAGTTGAAGGTAAGCCACAACACAACGTTTAAGATAGCGGTTTGTTTGATTTGATTTTAGTTTTCACTTTTCAATTCGTGCCCACAAAACGGTTTATTTTTTCTTCTGAGGTTTTTTCAAAATAAAAATGCTAGTTAGGCGTATTTTCACTGGAATTTTTTAATAGGCGCATTTTTTTTCCTTAGTTTTCTTCTGTTTTCTTACAAACTGAAAAAACAAATCGTGCATCGAAAGCCCCCATTTCAAACGGTAGAAAATTTTGTGGTCTTTGTCGTTATCGTTGGGTTTGAAAAAAAGTTTCAGTATAGTTATTGTATAGAAGTTTTCCTTTTACCGTTTTTAGCGGCAAACTTTTATAGCATCTGAGTAATCTCATTGACTTGAGCTCAAAAATGTTCATTAAGAAATCATTTCGGAACTTCAAGGTGCAACAAAAGTGACAAAATCATTTGTCTCTGAAATCTCTGCAGTTTGAATTGAAGCTTGATATTTGATCAAAACAAAATAATATTGAATGAAAAACAGATGACACTGTTTTTTGTACATCATTTTGGTTGTATTTTTCTCTTGTTTGTAACCTTGCTCATAAATAAATTTTGCTCTAAATAATGGATGATATTAATTCAGTTTCTTATCTTTGCAGAAACTAAAAACAAAAAGTTTTTGATTTAAAAAGACTGTTCGTAAATCAGAGCAAAGTTGTGATTGTTCCAACTGTAATGTCACTGAAAATTTTCTTGGTGAAAAAATCCTATAAATTAATCAAAAAATGAAAAAAAAAATGTTAACTTTTTCTTCAAACTTTAGTTCCTGATTTTATCCCCCCTACAAGTTATGTAAAGAGATAGTAGATAAGGATATATTTTGAGTCTATTAACAATCCATTAAGAGCAATTTGTTTGTCTTACCGCTTGTTTGTCTTACAATTTGGTTTAATTTATCGCTTACATTTCAGTAGAGGGAATTACGTTGCGCTTTAATGATCCAAATCTGAATTATAATAATCAAATTATAAATTGAAACCATGATTACTTTGTGAAAATTATCACAAGTAAAATCAATTTTTAAAACTTGAGCTCCAAATTGCATAATATTTGAAAAGGTAATACCGTTGATAAAGCTTATAGTTAAAAAGTTAAAAATTGACTCAATGAAAAAACCATCCCAATCATAAATATTCCACATTCTCCTCGAACTTCGGGTTGAAAAACGTTTTAAAGCTTAAGCTTTGTCAATGAAACATTTCAGAGGTTTCAAATTTTTCAAAAGATCCATTGTTTGATATGCGATCAAGTTTAATTAATCATCAGGAGGGATTATGGTCTTTCAGTTCTGAAATGGTACAGAATTTGAAACTGAAATTTGGTTACATAGAAATTCACAGAATCCACCGACAGTTTGAGTTTAAAAAAATATGCTTAGTCATAATTAATTTAGTTTGCATGGGCAGTTGTGTTTTTTTTTGCGGTAGGATAAATTACTGAAACCACATAAAACTGCGGAATGCAATGACAAATTTCAGAGTCCATTGAAAATATACTATTATTAGTATTAGAAATAGCAAATTTATGGATAATTTTTTTTCGCAATCCAAATGTATTTTGTGAAAATTCCTTCAATAGTCAAAACTCATTTGTCTTCGTTTTTCAAAAACAAAAAATTTTGTTGAAGTTTTGTGCTGGTTAAACTTACTATTTTTCGGACTTTTTTTGAAGAAATTGACGAAATAATTGTGCTCGGTAATTTTATTTATGCTGACAATCTTTGACTTTTCAACTAAATCTTTTTCCCGGAATTTTTTACACCATCAAAAAAGCGTTGTTGGTCCAAGCTCAATTACAGAAAAGATATTTCATTTTGATCATTTTCCGTAAAACTATTGGAAATTAAAAAATGTCAATGCGGGACAATAAAGACGCGATATATTTCTCACTATTTTTTCTTTGAGATTTTTTCAAAATCATTTGGATACGAAATCCAAATGATTTTACAAAACCTCAATGAAAGAATTTTGGAAACGCTTTCTTTTTTTTGAAAATTTCTTCAATTATTTTGATTTAAGCTACTCCATAGAATTTAAAATACAGTCGCAACATTCAGGGTTTTGTCCTAATACGAGCAGTATTGTTTGATTCTATAGTCAAATGTTCTTAAAACTTTTTGTACTGGAACTTAAGGTCATGATTGTGTAATAATCAGATAACTTTGAGCTGAGTTTAAAAAAAAATGAGTTTGATGCGGGATTTTTCGTGCAGAAGCAATAGTTTAAGTTGATAGAGGCAAAAAAAAGATATTTCTGTAAATGTCATTTTTCTTATCTGTAAAAATCTCAGCTTCTAACTCATGTATTACCGGTTTTCATTGCCGAGCGTTCAAAAGTTTTTATTTTTGAGTGGAGAAGGAATACAAATTGCATGAAAGTTTGTTATTACCTTTTTCTGAGCTGGAAGAGCTTAGCAGAGCTTAGCTTAAGGACTGTTTCAATGAGCAATTTGTTTATATTCTTCGTTGGAGTCATTTCATGTATATAACTTCTTTTAAATACCTTCTCTTTGATAAAATTTGTTAAAAATCTATACAAAGATAAACAAAAATTCTTAAGACAGGGTTTTAAATTCTCTTAAAGAGAATTTTTCACGACGTTAACTTGGAAAACCTCAAATTAAAACAAAAGTTGATTGGCTGAGCTCGAATTGAGGCGAAACGTCACTCATGCATATATTAAAAGCAGAAGCAAAACAACAGTGCTCCTATAAGGGCAGAGCTCTGAATGTTCCGACTGGGTTTTGAGCTCTAAAGAAAAGTGTTAGCCTAAAAAAAAGACAAATATTTCAAAAAAATTTCTGAAGAACAAATATCTCAAATTTTTTTTTTAATTTCTGAAGATTTTTTCATAAGCCATCCCCAACACGCCATATAAAGTACAAAGTGATATATTTTTGGTTTCTGTAGTTTTTTTTTGCTGCACGGCGAGATATTGCAGCAAAATGTTTAAGAAACTAAATTACATACCTCAGTTTAACTTGGATCAGTTACTAATGCTGATTGTCTAATTTGGCAATTTTAAACTTCCATAATTTTACGGAAAATAATCAAAACTGAAATATCTTTTTTTATATTTGAGCTTAGAACAACAATACTTAATTCATGGTAAAAAAGATTCTGTCAACAAGTTCTAATTCATCCCGAGCATAAATAATCCGTCGCTTTCTTCGAAAGTCGGAACGAAAAGCATCAATTTGATTTTGACTTTTATAGTTTTTTCTAAAGCTTCTCATTTCTGTGCTACTGTTCTAATGGCACTGCTATGGTAGTTATGAGAAAAAAATATTCGCAGACAGGAATAGTATCAGCATCGACCGAATTATATAACCCAAGTATAAATAAACAAGTCAAGTAGTGTATATATGTGTGTGTGACTAGGATGCGCGGAAGGCGGCGGCGGACAGTACTTTGAACGAGATGGTGGCGGGGATAGAGACGATTGCCAGGATCCAGATGCGCACCCGGCGCACCCTCCGCGGACATCTAGCCAAAATATATGCCATGCACTGGGCTGGCGACTCCAAGTTAGTCCAAACAACTATATAGCAAAATGTCGTTATTTCTACCAGGGGTCATTTTAGGGGGAGTGCGGAAAGGGCGCAATTTTTTTTCAGGGATTTCAGCACTATTTAATCTAAATTTTTAATAGGGAAAACGCAGAAAAAAATTCGTGTTGTGGTCAAAACCCTCAAAAAAGTGCCCAAAAACGTTTTTCAAAAATCTACCTGCGGCTCAGAGGGTTTTGGCAAATTTTGTTCTTCGTATTGTTTTGAGAGAGCTCGGAAAACCAAAAATAAACTATTGTTAAATAAAAATTCAGCCTACTCCTACACTTTTTCTAAAACGATTTTTTTTATTTTACTCTATTGCTGCAAGGGGGGTTCGTTGTAAGGTACAAATTTGGCGAATGCCTTGGCATATCTTTAGGGGTGGATATTTTTCACTGGTTCCATGGGGGGGAGGGGGAGGGGGAGAAGTAGATCCATGCCCAAAACACTAAAAACACTACATGAAATCATAGTTTCTAAGAATGATTCGCTGCATTGGCGAGCGCAGGAATTAAGATGGGGGGGGGGGGGGGTTATTGAAAATCTTTCTGAAATTTTGCCGTCCTGATTTTTGAAGTTAACCAAAAAAGTAATTTTCTGAGCTCTCTCAAAGCACTCTAAAAAATCTTTACCACAAATAATGGGCATCTTTGGAAAGTTGTGATCTAAAAAATATACATGCGCTTCTTTCTCACCTTAGTGAACTTTTGCTGATTTCAGACACCTGGTGAGTGCGAGTCAGGATGGTAAGTTGATAGTGTGGGACTCCTACAGTACTAACAAAGTCCACGCCATCCCCCTTCGCTCCTCGTGGGTGATGACGTGTGCTTATGCCCCCAGTGGTGCATTTGTGGCCAGCGGGGGTCTGGACAACATCTGCTCCATCTATGGACTCAAAACCAGAGAGGGCAATGTCAAGGTCACCCGCGAACTCAACGGACACACAGGTACGTCAATACCACACCTCGCAACATCACATCTGCGCCTTCTACAGTCCTCCCTTATCTTTCACTTTATATTTCTATTTGAAATTCGCGCAACATCCTCTTTAAAAGTCGCGAAAACTATTTTCCATTACTACGATAACCATGATAACCATGGCGTTAAAAGATTTGCATACGTCTAAAACAATCTGATTAAAAAATAGATTGATGTGGTTCATTTTTAGAAGCCGTTTCAGGTTGACCTTGAAATTTATGCACCCTCGATTATTCGACCCCTTGACGACCCAAAGGGTGCCGCCCCCTTTGGTACTATCTTAGGACATCCAATATTGGTCAATCAACCCTTCAATTTTCGAAAGGCCCCGTCGGATCTCGATATATACTAACCCTGAGGGGAGTGTTTAAAAAATTTAACCCTCCAAAAATTGGCAAAAGAACGGACTATAGTGTAGCGAGAGAGCTTAGAAGATCAGCTTGATTGACTTAGAAAAAAAATCGATTCATTTTTCATTTTTTTTGTGAAAATATCTTCCTCGAGATAATCGTTGACCCGCGTCTGTAGTTACCTTTGTTTTAATTTGACATAAATTATTCTTTGCCTATCAATTGATAAACGCTTGTTGGCAAAGGCTTAATATTGTTTGGTTTCCCGAATTCTCGAGCGTTCTTGCAATTCTGGAGCGTTCTCATGGTTTGCCGTGTGTTGTAGGCTATCTCTCTTGTTGCCGCTTCATGGACGATCATCAAATTATCTCCAGTTCTGGCGACACCACATGGTAAGTAAAGCACCTTCAGATAGCCAGTCATCTATCTATTTCGTGGACAGTTATAGAAAAAACCTCGATATCCACGAGGGAAAACACCTACATTTGGGCTGTTCATTCCTTTTTGCTTTACTGCTGTTAGAACCTTTCTTGGCTAATTGCCTTGACTGGGAAATGTTCCCAAACCCTGGGAAGCAAAATACAGGGATTATGGTGGATCTCAAGCCACCAAATTTTCGGCTAAGGAAATTTTAAACTAAGTTTTTTAAAACTGAGACGATTTATCCATTTAAGGTGAAGGACCACCCTATGACCTGTTCAGCTCTTAACGGAGATTTGCTTTTGCGCCTCGAAAAATAGCCAAAAAATTACAGATCGTTTTTAACCATGGTTTAAGAAAATCTGTCATATTTTTGGCTATTTTTCTGGGCTCTGTAATTTTGCCTCACACTTAAGCAAAGACCTCAGGCAACGAGCTCGGATCATGGTGGGCCTGAAACAGAATATCTATCTTTTTGATTGAAACCTAACCACTTTCTAATTTGTGAAAAGGCAAAAAGCAACAAGACTGCTTGTATCAGGGCAAAACCTTGAATTTTCCGACTGCCTTTTAAGGTTTATGAAGCAGCAAAAACATAAAAAACTAAATGTAATAAAATAAAATGAAATTTTTATTCTAAATTTGAAAATTTTCATGAAAATCATCCCCCAACACGCCATATGAAGTACAAAAAGATAAATTTTGCTCCTTGTAACACATCAATTATTGCAAATAAGCTTCTTTCAACCAATTCGGAACGGTTTCTAAGACGGATTAAATCTCCGCTTACACGTTAAAAGCGCGAAATATATCGCGCGTTAACTGTTCCAAATTGGTCAAAATGGCCAAAGTGGCAATCTTAAACCCTCATAATTTTACGGAAAATGATCACAGGTGAAATATCTTTTCACATTTGAGCTCAGAACAACAATACCTTTCGAATGATATAAAAAAACTTCGTCAAAAATGGCTAGTTAAAAAGTCGAAATTTGTCTGAAGAAAAAAAACCCACCCCGAGCACAAATATTCCGTTACTTTCGTATCGAACGTCGGAACAATAATAATAGTATTTTGTGTAATTGTTCGCACTTTAGATCAATTCTCAAAAACCTTTCCGCAGAAATTTGAAACTTGAAATGGGACAAAAGCAGATCAAACAAATAATGCTTAAAGCTTCATCAAAGAGATAATGATGCAATTTATTTTGTTCTTAATTGTTCACACCCTAAACTTTACCATAAAAATGGGGCAATTTTGGCTTTTCTTAGTCACTTACAAATGATTTTCAACAATCAAAAATCAATCGAAATTTTTTTCTTACTACCGAGTCAAATTTTGAGCCATACCAAAGTAAGTTTCTTTTGTAGCCCAACACAATTCAAAAGATATTCTCTTGTTAAACTTGTGGAAATAAGTATATTTTTTGCTGAGAGCTGAAAAGTGTCAATTTTATTAACCAATTGTGTTTTTTATAAAAAATTTTGAGTTTTATGCTCAAACTTTCGCAGGTTAAATCTTTTTTGTAAATTTTATTGGGCCCCATAAGAGACCCATTTTGATACAAACTGTTCAAAAATTGACACGGCAGCGGTAGCATTATTTTCACTGACAGCTGAATATTCAAAAACGACGAATATTTTTTGTTAAACCAAACAAGTAGATGCACCATTTTAATTCTGGAATTTTTTTATTCCCATCTTTTTTTAATACAAATTTATTTCATTTTTGGTTAAAAAAACGTTCCAATATTTCAATTTTGCTTGTACCCGAATTTTTTAATAAAACTTCAAGTAATTGTCAAAAAAATAGAACGCAAAAGTGACCTCATGAGCACAAAAAATGTTAGCACAGTTATTTTTGGGGATCGAGAATTTAAGAATCACTTCTTTTAGTTTAAATGACCTAAAATTAAATTTGGATGAAAAACAGTATGAAAACTTTTCAATTGAATTTCAAATATTTGCTTGGTTTAGCAGTAAAAGCACCTGAATCTGAACTTATTAGTTAGTGGAATTGAAACGAATTAATTCAAAAATTAGTAAAATTGTGAGCCTTAAGCTTGTGATATTGACGCCAAGATGTCAAATTAAAAAAAAATTAAGTATCTTTAAAACGTTTTTGTTAATTACTTCGCTTTTTGTTCCGATCATTGAAAAAAGGGAAAACTTTGTCTCCAGGTGTGTTCTAGTTTTCTCTTTTTTTGTTTTACACAAAAAATCGAATACCACAAAAATACTGACAAAGTTGAGTAATACATCATATTAAAACCCTTTCTTTAGATATTTGAAGCATTTTACAGAAATTGTCCCAGTGTTGAAAAAAATTGTTGAAATATTTTTGAAATATTGAAATATTTCTTACAGAAATTGTCCCGGTGTTGAAAAAAATGGGTCTGATTTCTTATAAAATTCAGTCAATTTTTTAATTATTTAAAATTAGACTAAACATTTACTTTTCAGTAAAAATAAATTGAGTTTCACTCCATAAAAACTAGTTTTTAAGCTTCATTCAGCGCTTCTTTAGAAAAAAAAGCAAAAAAATCTCAGAAAAATATTAAACAAAATAGGAAGAAAAATTTTTAGAAATTTTTTGAAATTTTTTTTATTTGCTGTTGATTTTTGGAAGACAGCCGTTGTCGAATATGTAGGGTCTAATGTTTTGTATTTTTTTTGCCATTGCGCGCAAAAAAAACTACACTAATTTGAAAAAATATATTTTTGAAGTTTTTAACTAGTGTAATCAGAATATCGTATGCTACTTGTACAGCAATTGGCTATCCTTGTTTCTTTTGAGAATCATTTGGTTTTAAAGTTTTGGGCTTTTTATAATTGCTGTGTTTTTTTTTGCTTTTCTTGGTTTGATGCGTGTTACTTAATGCGATAATATTTTTGTCGGATTGAGGGCGGCAGAAAAATTGTATCGAACTAATAAAAAACTAGCTTGCCTCAGTGGCAATTCAATGTGGAACGAATTGTAGTACGGGATAGTTCGCCACGTTTAAATAATGCGCGTTACACTGCACGTTCAGCATCAAAGTATGAAACGAGCAGTTTCCCCTGGCTGCAATCAGATCTGTGTAATGGTGTGCGGACTCTGAGGGGTCCACGAAGATCCAAGGATCGATCCCTCGATAGATAACATCTTTGAAAATTGGTCTGAATTAAAGAAAAACACCTCGAGCATATATATTTTTCATTTTCCTCAAAAATCAGAACAATAAGTATTTTCCAATATAGCGAAGCAAATTCATCAAGTCCTGCAGAAATTCGTGGTAGAATCAATGTTCTTTATTTGCTTTTTTGCTCCTAGAAACGAACCAGACACGTTCAATATGCAGTCAAATAACACAGATTTTTGCTCACATACGTGCTGCTTTTAGATAAACTGTTAGTTTAACAAATTCCTTACAGTTCGACGTAGACTAAAACTCAAAATTTATTGCCTGCTTGGAAAAAGTTTTTTGGCTTTAGTCTTGGCTTCGACTAATTTTTCCAGCTCGGCTCAAAAATTGAATATGGTTTCTGGTTTTATGAACAAATTTTGTGGTCCTTGCAATCTTGAATAAGTCTGACTGAGCTTGAAACTCTTCTAAAGGCGCCTGCGGCGCCAATCTGTACTAATTTTGAGGGGAAGCGTGCGCCGAAAAAACGCAATTTTTTGGTCGAAATTTTCCAAAAAGTGCTTAAAAACGCCTTTTCTTAGCTTTTTATAAAACTTTGCCTGCGGCGCAGAAACTTTTGTCAAATTAGAGTCTTTATAATGATCTTGGAGAGCTCAAAAATCAAATTGGTCGACCTAAAAAAAGGTCGACAAAATTTTGAGTTTTTTCTGAACATCCGCCCTCCCTCGAGAAATTTCTAAATCCGCGCCTGCTTGAATTATTTATGTTTCTATTTATAAAAACTGGATCTTCTAGATGCATCAAGGCTTTAAAAGGGTCATAAAACTTGCTTTTAATTTTCCGCTCCTGAATATTATTACCCTTCAAGAGACCATTGGTTTTCACAGCCACTTTTTCAGTATTTCCGAGCTCACTGAATAAATTAGTCAACTTTTGCTGTAGAATAAATAAATGGAATCTAGGCTATTTTATACAGTTACGGATTTTTTCAAAGCGCCACAAGTGGTTATTGATGATGTTGGAAATCGACCCAATTTTTTCAGTAACACTCAAGACACGTTTGGAGTTATCTTTTTGCCCAAATTTTAATCAGTTGGTTAAAAGCCGAAGAAGAAGATAATCAGAAGCAAATTTTTAAATGCGAAGGTGAATTGTGACCGGATCCGGTTGAATGAAGAAACAGAATAGGTCATCTAGATATTTTTTATAGTTCTAGATTGAGCTGTCTAGAGCCGAAATCCACTAATAAAAGACTACCTTTGCTTGACCCAGACGCAATTATTTTTTGACCTATAATTTTTCTTAAAGTACGGGCAAGTTGTAATTAGCAGCAGAAATTAAATATAAGTACTGAACTTCTTTTTTGAAACTCCTTTTTCACATCGTAAAAATTGCGAAACTTTAATTTCTGCTGATACCGGTTTTCAAAGTTTTATAGAATTTTCACTACTATAGAACCTACGTGAATTAAATCATTTTCAAAAAAACGCGAAACTTTTGTTTAAACAAGAATAGCCGTTTACGCTGCCTGAAGCACAGAAAATTCCTATCTCAGTTGTTTTTGCGTAACACATTTCTAAGAAAAAACGAGTTTTTTTATTTGGATTTTTTAGAAGACGAAAATGTACCGATATTTAGTTCTGAAAATAACGCATAAAATTACTCTACCAATTATCTTAATATGAGATTATTGTTCCGACTATTTGAAAATGTGGAGGAATTTTATAGTCAGGTGTTTCAGTTTTTCCATTTTTTTTTCTTTTTTTTTCACGCAAAATCAGGTAACTCCAACAATTATTGAATGAGTCTAACAATATACCAAATTGGAGCCTTTTCAGTGGTGATTCAAACGACATCAATAAATTATGCACACTTGTTTTTTTCAGTAACAGCTTGTCTATGCTTAATTTAAGCCCTGAAAATTAGTTTAAGGCAGTTAAAATTTGTTTTTGGAGTTTTTAGCGCCTTCTTGGGAGCCAAGAGCTTCAATAAATTCAAAATATTTTCTGCGAAAAAACTTGAAAAAAATTTGCATTTTTTTTATTTTTTCATTTTTTTTGTCAACTGGTGAAATATTTTTTCAAGTTTGAGCTCAAGATAATAATAGTTTTCGTATGATATAAAAAACATGTCAAAAATGGCTAGCTTAAAAGTCGAAATGTGTCTGAAGAAAGAAAAACCCATCCCGAGCACAAATTTTCCGTTACTTTTGTTAAGAAATTTGAAACAATAATCAAAATTGAGAAAAAATTATCTATCTACGTTGCACGATCTACATCTAAGGCTGGATGTTCAATAATATAAAACCTAGCGTGAAAATATTTTGATCTTACGAGGCAAAACGTGATTACCTGTACGTCTCGGGAGTCCGTATGTTTCTGGATTCTGTATAAAACCTTTTCAGACCTATAACAATTTGTAAGTGGAAATCACAAACAAGTGTTTTAAGCAAAAATTTTGTTGGATAATTTACTACCCGCACTGGAGCTCCATGGATAATAATCGATTATATTGTCATCTTATAGTCATTATCCATAAAGTTACAAAAATAATTGGACATAATCCATCAAAAATGGACAAAAATTCTACTATTTTTCATATTATTATATTTCATTGTAATCGCTTATAATCGATTATAATTCATTAAAATTGGATTAAAATCATTATATTTTGTGATCAGTATAATCGATTATAATGTATTTTTTAGGAAAAAAGTTATGAATTTTGCAATTTTTTTGTTCAAGTTTATCTCATTTCTTGTTTCGTGTATTTGCTACGTTTTAAGTTTCATGAAAAAATATTTCACGTAAGATTTTATTTTATTTTATTTTTCTTTTCTTTTTCTATTCTATGTAAACTCGGTTCTTTTAACAACGTAAACTCGCCTCTTTTAACATAGCTTTTTTTAATAACCCCCTTCACCAGTTTACCCCCCCTCTTCCCTCCACTGTTTACCCGTCGCCAGGAGAAATGGATTAATTAGTTTTTATTCGCACTGAGTAATCCCTCCCCCGTCGCTGTCCGATGGTAAACAAACTGGGGGGGGGGGGGGGGGGTAAACTGTAACTTGTGGGGTTTGGGTTTGGGGTTAAACTTTAATAAACCTGGGCCTGGGGCTAGGCGTAGAGATAAACTTAGGGAAGTGGGGGGATGTAGGTTTATCTTGCGAGTAGGCCGCGAGTAACGCAGCAATGTTGCAAATTTTGCAATTGATTTCGCAAAACACGTAAGGATTATAATCCGTTATATTCAATTACAATGGATTTTAATTGGATTATAATCCTTTATAAAGCATTTTAATGGGTTGTGTTTTTACGAAAAAAATTGATTATTATGACAGTATAATCTATTTCGTGGTCTAAATTTGCAACATTAATGGATTATTTTGAGAATATTTTAGACAACCATTTTCCATTATAATCAATTATTATCCATGGAACTCCGGTGCCATTACTTCGCGGAATCTTCAACGAGCCGATTTCGCAATTGTTAGAGGTTTGCGACTTTGCAAAGAGCTCCTTAAGTGTACCAAATGCCAAATGTTTGTGTACATATGAGCCAAAATTAGTTGAACAATTCGGCGCCTACGCCAGAAAAAGTGCAAAAAAAAAATTAAGTATAGCTTAAATCAAATCTTGTTTACCATATTTGAAATTCTAATATACGCACTGAGTGTTTTTTGAGTTTTTGAGATTAAAAATTTCTTTTTTATTCTTTCTATGCTTCAAATTTTTTTTATACAAAAACTTTGGTAGTCCTTTTTTTTTCAGCATATTGACAATATTTTACTTCGCAGTCAAATTAGTTTTTCAATATTTCTGTTAAATTGAGTGTTCCAGTTTTTGTTCCATTTTCCGAACCAAACTGAATATGTATGAGGTGTGTTTTTTATATTCAGTAAATTCGCGGCGATCGAAATAGTAGTTTTTAGCAAAAATTTTTACGTCCCATTCCGAAATTCAAATTTAAAAATATATTTCAACTGCGATCATTTTTGCAAAGTTTTAGGAGTTTGAAAAATGCCAATTGGACTAAAATATGCGCACTTTGAAGATTTTATCCAAAACCTTGAAAGCGTAACGCAAATTAGTTTTGCTTGGCAATTTATCTCAAAAAGAAGTCGTACTCATTTCAAACGACTCGAACTGTGACACTTGATTTTTGATGTTGTCTAAAATTTACAGTTTTTCAACATTTTTGTTTCCCATAAGTTTTTCGATTTTGATAAAGGGGCAGTTGGAACCTTCAATGCTTTGCCCTTATATACGAGTAGTCTTGTTGAGATAAATTGCTAAATCAGTAATTAAGATGAAAGATGAAAGGTAATATTTCGGGGTTTGAAACAAATTGTCAATTCAGTGTTTCAGATAAAGAGATAAACTGTAATTTCAAATTTTGAGGTGGACGGCTATTTCAATGTTTGCGTTGCATGACCGGTTTAATATTCGAGTTTATTGGTTTTTCGGAATATGAGTTGAATGAGTTATACAGATCAGTAGCATAGTTCTAAATTTTTACCATATCTTACTGAATTCTACAAACAAATTGTGCATTCGCTCACAAATGCGACAACAGAACCCACTACATACAAGAGTGTTAATTTTTCCTGAATTTTGCTTGAGCAAGCTTTAAGCGGCTTGAGCAAAGGTTTTGAGCGCTACAGTGTTTTAGCTGTTTGTCGCCGAATTCAAAACAAAACAAAATGTTCCGACTGCCTTTTCCGAAGGTCTATCAAGCAGTGATAAAATGAACAAGTTAAATGTAAAAAAAAATTAAAAAAAAAAACAAATTGAAAAAACATTCTTAAGTTTGAGATTTACGGACTGATAAATTACAAAAACACAAAGTGATAAATTTTACTCCTACTAACAAATCAATTATGGCAAATAAGTTTCCTCCAACCAATTTGGAACAATTTTAAGATGGATTAAATATTACGCGTTAATTGTCGCAAATTGACCAATGAAAGTCTTTAAACCCCCATAGTTTTACGAAAAACGATCACAGGTGAATTATCTTTTTATATTTAAGCCGAGAACAACAAAATCTTTTGAATGATATTAAAAAAATCTGTCAAAAATGTCTAGTTGAAAAGCCCAAGTTTGTCTGAAAAAAAAAGCACCGAGCACAAATATTCCGTTACTTTCGTTACGAAGGTCGGAAAAAAAAGAAGAACGAAAAAAGGCTTTTTGCGGATTTCACGACAGAGTGTTGTCCAGCTGTATTGCACAAACTATCATCAACATTTTTTCACAGGGAGTCGAAGTGACTGAATGCCTGAAAAAAATATAAGTATAAGTTCGTTACACAGTTATTGAGAAAGTTTCAACCTTGTTATCACTTCAAAAATATGAAAAGAGACAATAGTTATTGTACGAAACTCAAATGGAGCTTGAATAACTAAAAATATCAGTCAGTAATCAGCAGATGAGCAAAGGAAAAAGCGAAAAATCAAAAAAAAAATCTCATGGCAATGTGACAATTCGTTTTGAAACATTTTCATTGGCAGCTGATTAAACGAAATAAAAACAAACTATAAGGAATTTTCTCTTGAGTTGTCGAGATTTTGTTAGGAAACGCCATCAAACCAAAAGTGTTTCCTTAGTTTTTGGTTATAGATTGTCGGGTTAATAAACACGCATCATTTTGAACCTCTACCAGCTTATGGTTCAAAAAGAAAATTAATGGCTGCTTTTATTGATCAATGAAAGCGCAATACCGCGGGCTGATCAAATAAACTGTGAAAACGAAATAAGGCTTGATTTTCAAGTTATTTATTGCTGAAAAAATCAATTTGAAGATGGTTATAAAATGGTGCTGGACAATTTCTTTCGAGGTCGTATAAAATGGCCGTACTCATTTTTATATATCCTTTTCGCTCACACAATTTCGAATAGTCCAATGAATAATTTTTTTGATTTTGAACTATCTAAGCACGCATACAAGTTTCAGAACACTTTAATTTTAGATGTATGCAATTGAAGCTCTTTTACAGATTAAAACTGTCCGTAAGTCAGGACAAGGAGTAAAGTTATCTGTGCAGCACGCTAAAACTAAATTATTTCTGTGCAGCACCTTGAAATACATGTGTTTGTTCTGTTGACTAGCACTTTGTGGGACATAGAGACTGGCAATGCGAAGACGACATTTGAGGGCCACTCTGGTGACGTCATGAGTCTGTCTCTCTCCCCGGAGCAGAGGACGTTCCTGAGTGGGGCTTGTGATGCCTCGTGCAAACTGTGGGACATCAGGGATGGCATGTGCAAGAATACATTCGTTGGACACGAGTCAGATATCAATGCTGTCAATGTTAGCTGCCGCCATTGTAGCATTTTTATAGTACCCGAATCGAATTTGCGCTCAATTTCATGCAACGTTTGAATTCTTTGAACGTTTTTTTTCTTAAAGTAATTGCACTCAAAATCTTGCTTCAGAATGAGCAACTTGACCAATTTCTAAGCGATTTTTGAGCATTTTGGTCTTAAGAAAAACGCTCGAAACCGCCCAAGATTTGAACCAATGTTGCTAACAGGGGCGGATTTAGGGGGGGGGGGGGGTTTGCGGACGCTTTTTACTCAGGGGTTCGACCCCCTGACGACCCAAATGGTCGCCCTTTTGTACGATTTTGAGATATCCATATTTGGCGACGCACCCTAAAACTTTTCTAATGTCGCCTTCGGCGCCAATATATACTTACTTTGAGGGGGAGCGCGCGCCAAAAAAACCCGATTTTTTATTCAAAATTTTCCAAAAAGTGCCCTAAAACGGCTTTTTGACCTGTTTTTTTTTTATTTGCCTGCGGCGCACAAAATTTGGTCAAAACAACGTCTTTTAATGCTTTAGGAGAGCTCGGAAAATCAATTCGGTCGACCTTATAAAATCCAAACCCCCCCCCCCCCCCAACTGCTAGATCCGCCCCTGGTTGCCAATATGAAGAAAAATAATTTGGGAAAAAAAAACTTCCGCCTTTTTTGAGGAAGACTGAAACCAAATAATATTAAACTCATCGCCATTACACACAGGCTATTTTTTATATTCAAGCTAAATTTTTTCTTTAAATTGAAGTCCTGCGAGGAATGTAAAATTTTTTTACTGTGTCAAAAAAGACATTTTATATTACGTAACTGGCACTATCTACCGGAATTAGTGGTTAAATATATAAATATAAAATAAATTTAGCTGTTATGAAATTGCATTTATCAGATTTATACTTTGATGTGCCGATTATTGTTCCGACCATATGAAAAATCTGGAGTAACTTTGTATTCGGGTATGATTTGTACCACGTAAAAACATGTACCGCAAACAATCATCGTGATGGGCCGAGTGATATATCATATGAAAGGGCTTTCAGTCATTTTTTTAAAAAAAATTTCTCAGTTTTGAGAAAAACCGGTATAAATTTTTTTGTTTTGGTCCAATTTCGAGCGAGTAAAGCGATTGAGTTAAGTTCGTTATATATGAATAATGTCGACTTAGGCTAAAAAAACATGATTGTACTAAGAAGAAAACCAGTTTTGGAAGCTTCATTAGGCGCTTTCTTAGCCACAAAAAAATCATAAAAATTTCAAGTTTTTAGTGCAAGTTTTGGCTTTTTTTTAAGACAACTGTAGTATTTTATGCCTAATTCACTCACTTTCTACGCGTTCTTTAAGTTCTATAAAATTTTTCTATAGTTCTATAATCACACCACGCAGAAGATGCGACGCTAATTTAAAGATATTTTTTTTGTACTTTTCTACGATTGTGGTCGGAACATTCTCTGCTACTTGCACAGCAATTTTTTTTTTAAATTCAAAGATTTTACGATTTTTTCTTGTTTTTCTAGTCATTTTTCTTCACAAACTGGCCTTTTTTCTTTGGGTGTTGAATATGCCTAAGTTCCAATTTTTCGTTTAGATCTTTTTGTCACAGCACACAAAAAAAAACACTAATTTGAAAAACTTTCTCTGTTTTCTTAAGACTATGGTCGGAACATTCTGGGCTACTTGTAGTCGCCCAGAATATAATCGCCCAGAAGTAACCGGCAATCCTTGTTTTGATTTTTTTTGTTTTTCGATCAAACTTTTTGATAAAAACAGTTATAAAATATGCGTTTAGTGCTACTTACACAGCAACCGGCTATCATTGTTGTTATTTAGTTTTTTCCGAATGGGAATGCGTTCGCGACTGGGTCTGACGACGCCACTTGTCGCCTGTTTGACATCCGAGCAGACCAGGAGCTGGCGCTCTACTCCCACGACAACATCATTTGCGGAATCACCTCCGTCGACTTCAGCAAGAGCGGACGCCTCATGTGTGCTGGCTATGACGACTTCACCTGCAATGTCTGGGACGTCCTCAAGGCCGAACGAGCCGGTTAGTTCTCCTTAGCAACAGTCTGCATAAGTACTTTGTTATGTAAATAACAAATTGTTTACGAAGAAAAAAGTTTTTTCTACTAAAATTTTTTCTGGTGGAGATCTCTCATAAATTACACAAGTTCTGAAACTTCTTGAAAAGTTTTAATTGACTGACTGTCTAGCAGTCAGACTTGGGGCATTTCTATGGCATCAAAAATTAAAAAAAACTCGAGTACTTTACCAAAGATCTCCATCAGAAAACTTTTTTACTATGCATCGTCAAAATACCATTTATCTTAAAAATCTGGATAATCAGCCAAATTGATGCACTTTTGAGTATTGATATGATAAATATATGGTTTTACAAGTAATTAAGTCTTCGTGTAGGAGTGCTAGCGGGTCACGACAACCGAGTGAGTTGTTTGGGGGTCACTACAGACGGACTGGCAGTCACCACCGGCAGTTGGGACTCATTCCTCAAAGTATGGAATTAACAGCACCCCCCCCCCCCTTGTTGCTCCAATCCCGCTTACACGCGACATAAAACGCAAACGCCTGCAAACGACATCTACTCGAATCAACTCAAACAGAATCGAAAAAACAGAGCCCATCCACCAATCAGGGGGTCCCTGGTTTGAATCCCTAGCTAGCCAAACTGTTTCAACTATAGAAACTGCAACTGCGTAGATTGCTGTATGGTGTTGAGGCAGTGTGGAGTTTAGACGAAGCAGAACGGGCTTTTTATTCCTTCAAGCTTATTCCTCTCTCTCTCTCTCTCTCTCATCCTAAAGGTCTGATCAGTAAACGATGGAAATGAATGCTACTCAAATGAAAAATAGCCAGTAAATTTGTTTTTAACCTGAAAATTGAAGTATTCAACTTTCTTAAATTGATCATGCAATTTTATTTTATCTTTTGAAAATTCTCAATTTTTATATTTGCCTCAACCTGAACTTGCTGCAGAATAATTGCACCACATAGAAGAGTTATTGAAAGAGCGCATTCGGGAAAAGCTACACGCTATGATGCAGGAATATAATTTTCAATTTATCATTTTGTTTTCTAAAATTTAAATACATTTTAAATTTATATTTTCCCTCAATATTTGACCCTTGTTTTAAACTTCAGTAAATCTAACCCCTTCAATTGTATAGATTTGGCGATATTTGTAATAAAACTGGAAACATGGTTTAGCATCAACAGCCCGCGGACAAATTGTCTATTTGTGACGCATTTTCCTTTTTTCCTGAATTGTAGTGCAATATAATAATTATTTTGCTAACTTAGTTTTCATCTTAAACTGACGAAGGCTCTAGCTAATTGGCAATGTATTTCACATCACGATATACCAACTAATAATACAACATCAAAGGGAGCTTTACTACCACGTTTGACAAGTGCTGAACCTCGCTGACATTGATTTGCTTTCATGACTGTTTTCATGTTGGTGCTCTGCTGTTAGTTACTTCTTCATTCATTTTGAACCTTTTAAACACTGTGAAGATCAATTTTGAGTAGTTCTCTACAAACAAGTGCGAACAAAACTGACATCCGCCCAACGTCAACAAAAAACGTGAAAAATAACACCTCGTTTCTTATTCTGACTGTATTTGTTCACACTTAGGAAAAACTTATTGAAATGTTAATTCTATGCTGCTTCTTCAACCGTAGTCAAAAACCTTCTTAAGAGCATTATTGTTTCAAATTTAAAAGACCGTTTTATCTGAAGCGAAAAATAATAGTCACTAAAATAAACAAAAAGTAAATTGATTGAAATTGCGTCTCCCGAGAAATTGTCAATGTAGTGAAAATGCCTTCTCTAGCGAGCATATCCTGAAATAAACGTGTTTCCTGTTCCTTTTCTTATTTCTACCTATAGCTTTATAAAATATGGGTATGGATAAAAATAGATTCATCATAATAGGCACCATCGGTCGCTTAGATATATAAGGGGAAGACTAAAAGCACAAGGAAAAATTCCTCCGGGCAGATTGCATATGCGGGGAAATTGAATTAGACCACGGTAGAACTATGCATATGAATCAGTCCAAGGAGATAACCATTTAAAAAAAAAAGAAAACATGCGTCGTCACATTCTGTTCATGATTGAACTATCTTATAGAAAATTCCCGCATTTGTGCGTAATTATCGTGCCGGCGTTCAGGCATGGCACAAATCTGTGTCCCGCATAATTACCGCATAACAGGTCTCAAATTTGAAATCGCACAATCCCACAATCCCACAGTAATTCGGCATAAGTCAAGCAAACTGACCAAATAAAGAAATTTCCGAAAATTTAGTTATAATTTAAGCGTATTCTGCTTTAAGCGCGCTGTCTCCGCAATTTTTGATGTCGCATGGAAAAACCGACGCTTAAAAAGCTAAAACACCCAGAGAAAACTTCAAATTAAAATTAAATAAAAATCGGCGGGCTAGATTGTGGTGCTAGATTTGTCAAAGCACCAATATTTGCTGATTTTTGGCAAAATTTTCAGCAGAATTTTGATTTTTCTGCATAAAAGCCCGCATAATGTAATAACTACTGCAATCGGTACCGCACTATTTAACTGTTTTTGCCCGCAGATTTTTGCCGAACCTGCCAGGGTTGACCAAAAATTGCTATTTAAGAACACTTTTATAAGAATTTTTCAACTACTTTTTCTAATAAATTTAGGCCCTAAGAATTTTACGAGCTACGGATTTTTATTTACAAGTAAGTTGTAAGTTAAATATTTTTCTATGGGAAAATTGTAAGAGAGGAACATTTTCGTCAAATTTTTCAAATGTGTTTTTCACAAAATTTTTTTTCAAGTTTTCTCATAACGAGTACAAACTTCTTCGCTGTCGCATCATCAGCTGTTTGTTTAAACACCAACTAGCCAGTCCGTCTTCAATAGTCTATCGAATCGCAAAAAGTTAGTTTTTGTGCTGATCCAGCTAGTCAAGCTATGAAACATATGAGAATTTTGAGTAAAATCTTGTTGCATATCGGTTTGAAAATTTTTTTTAGACCGAATAGGTTCGCGAAAAGATGAAATTTTTCAAGGCAAGCCATTCAAGCTATGGCCCTTGGAAAAATTGAGTTTATGTCAAGAAGCAAATCGGATGGCAAAAAAATAACTGTTTTGCATTGAAGCCATTCAAGCGGTGAAAGTTTGAATTATCTAAGGCTAATTCATAGATCCAATCGGTTCTCAAAAATTGAAAATTTTTCAAAGCAAAGTATTCAAGCTATGAAAATTTGAAATACTTCAGGTTGCTTTAAAGAGCAAATCAGTTCCCGAAAACTTAGTTTCTCTCTCGCAAGCTATTCAAGTAATGAAAATATGAAAATATGAAAAACTTTAAGTTATTTTCCGAGTAAATAAACCAGCTGAAGTACAAATCAATCAGTAATGCGCGGATTAGTTAAGGCAGCCGAAAAGTTATGTCACATCTATGAAATTTGCATTACATAAATTTTATAAAACACTCATGCTATTCGGCTGGTTGATACTCTTAGCTAGCAAACTTTGAAACCAAGCAAATCAGATGCCAAAAACAAAATTTTTTCGAGAAAATAAATTAAAGAGCGAACAGAAATGTAAGAAAAAAAATTCTGCAGTAAACTGTAAAAACTATAGAACAATTTAGGTTGTTTCCTAATCCAACTTGGTTCGCAAAAAAATTTCGAGTGAAGCTATGAAACTTCGATATATTTCAAGTTACTTCAAGAAGGGAAGCGAATGACAAAAAAACTTCTCTTGTACCCATTCATTTCAAGCGATGAAAATTTGATATAGTTTTAAACATTTCATAGACCCAATGGGTTCACACTTTTCAAAGCAAGCTATTCAAATGATTTTAAGTTATTTTAAAGCGCTCACTTTGCAAAAAATTAGTAAATAAAATATGAAACTTCAAATTTTTTCAAGTTATCGGAAGAAAAGATTCGAACGACAAAAAAAAGTCAAAAATTTTTGTAAGGAAGCCGTTCAAGAAATGAACATACGTAACCATTCAAATTATTTCATAGACCAAATCGGCTCGCAAACAATTCATGTTTTCTCACGTGAGTTATTCAAGTTTTAGAACAAGAGAAATTGAAAGTTGCTTAGAACGAATTGGTTTGCGAAAACTTGAAACAATTCGCAAAAGTAGGAGTTTTTTCAAGCAAGCATTTCAAGCTATGATAACTCAAGTTATTTCAAAAAGCAAACGGATGGCAAAATGTAAAATTTTCCATTGAAGCCGTCCAAGTGGTAAGAATTTGAATCGGTCCATGAAACGTTTAAGGGTTTGTCCAGGGAGCTATTCAAGCTATAAAACAATTCAGTTGTTTTATAGTTGAATCGGTTCGCAAAAAATTTAAATATTCTCAGCAAGCTACTCAACCTATGAAGTTTGAAATATTTCAAGTTACTTCATTGAACAAAACGTTTCGGAAAAAATCTAAGTTTTTGTAAGCAAGCTATCCAAGATATTAAACTTTGAAATTTTTCAGGTTATTTCATAGACCGAATCAAATCAAGAAAAAATTAAAATTTACTTATGCGAGCTATTCAATCTGTGAAACAAAACAAAATTTTTCATAGACCGAATTGGTGCGTGAAAAGTTCAAATTTTTTTAGGCAAGCTATTCAAGCTATGAAACTTGGAAAGATTTTAAAATACTTCATAGACCGAATCTGTTCTTCAAAAAATTAGTTTCTCTAAGCATGGAGGTTGCTGCTTAGTTTATTCGTTTCAGACTAAAATGAATATGTGAACGCAAAAATTTTTGAGAAAAAGTGGGCAGATATTTTCTAGCCTCAAAGTTGAATCAAGTTCATTTTGTTTACAGAGTTTCGCACATTTTTTCGAAAACAATTCTTGAATATTCCAGATTTAAGAATATCCTGCGAATGAATCTTAGACATTCTAATCAACGCAGTCTTAAACGTTGCGCTCGAAATCCCCTTAAACATAAGGCCTAATGCGGAAAACATGTCATCTATTTAATATATAAGATTCTGGTATTCGTTGGTGTTCGGCAGCATCTTTCGTTTGTGGCATTGATTTTGCTGGGTCATGCCTCGATAAGCTGCATAGCTTTTTGCATGATCCTTGGTGGGTTTGATTTGTACATGCGGTTTATTGTTTACCTGTCTGTATAATTTTACTCTCCTAAATAAACTATATATATGCTGTAAATCAAATTGATTAGAAGCCTAAAGCGGCTTTCTTTTTTGGCTTTCAATGCCATTCTGTTTTGACAAAATCAATTTCAGTTTTCAGATAGCAAGGCCTAAAGCGGTTTTTTTATCGTGTATTGCATACTTCTTTCCTATTTTGTTAATTACAAGGCTTTTTTCCCACCACTGCGTCATCGGGGGTGTTTTAGATTTTTTTCTTTTATTTGTTTTGCAAAATTAAACATCACAAATAATTATAGACATGGCTGAGTTATATATCAGACTAAAAACTTTTTTAAAGGTTCGTGGAGTCTTAAGTTTATCAGAAAAATTGTCCCTAAAAAGTTGTCCCAGTTTGATTTTTTTGAGTTTCAGTCTAACTTTGAGCAATTTAGTAAACAAAATTAAACGAACCGATTAAGATATACCTTTTGTCACACAAAAAAAGGATCAAAAGAGTTTGAAGTGTTTCAAAAGAGTTTGAAATGTTTTTAAGATGAAATCGCAAGTAAAATAAGTAAGCAAAGTAGAGCCCTCGTTGTTACACTTGAATCAACTCGGAAAGTCGAGCACCTCTCGTGGTCTTTTTTTTTCACAAGAGTTTGTTAAGTAAAACGCGCAACTGAACGTTTTCAAGAGTGCAATAGCCTCTGTTTTCAGATTATTAAAATCTATCCAATTTGCTTTAACGACTGCAACTGGACTGAAAAAGATCTCTTGGCTAAAAAAGCGCGTCTGCAGATCTATTCAGAATAATTAAATTAAAAGTAGAACTAAACAAGACTCCTCGTATCAGTATATCGATCTAAATGTTGCGACTACCTTTTGATTGGTCCCGAATAGTTTTTGATAAATTAAGTTTTGGCAGAAATATGAGTTGATAATTTTAAAACTTAAGTGTTACAATTTGAGTCGTGTGTGGAATTAATAAAAACAATTAGCCTCAATTTTGTTTGAGACGATTTTGTAGTGCGGAAAAAATTGCCATGCGTGTATATTTTAAAACGAGCAGTTAAGACAGAACCTTGGCACGTTGTTATAGTGGCGTTCACACCCGGCTGGGCCTATGCATATTATGAGGTTGATCATCGAGGGACTAGAGTTATCTAAAATTCATCTCAATAAAAAAACCACCCCGATCATGCATGTTTCTTGTTTTTGTTGAGAGTCGGATTTAAAAAAAAACAAGGCTGATTGTATCGGGGCGAAACCTTGAATGTTTTGACCGTCAAAAAATGAAGAAAAAAAAATAAATTTTTCTTGAGATTTTTTTCAAAATCATTAGCCTACACGCTAAGTATAGTACAAAATGATATATTCCGCCTAAAGCGAAAAAATTAAATACACTTAATAGCATGACTCAATTCAATTTGGCGCAATTTCTAAAACGGATGAAATCTCCGCTTACGCGTTAAGAGCAAGAAACATGTAGTTAATTGTCCCATTTGGTCAATTATTTAAACCTCCATAAATCTTTAAACCTGCGTAACTTTACGAAAATGATTCACATGTGCAATACTTTGTTTAATTTGAACTCAAAACAATTGTATGATTGATATTTATAGAGTTCCGTCAAAAACTCCAAGGTAAAAAGCCGTTAAAATTATCCGGTAAAAAATAACCACCCCAAACACAAATATTCTTCGAAAATAGTCGGAACAATCGCTTTGTACTAAGGCGTTGAACAAACTAATCAAGTCCAAA